GTTAACATCAAAACTATGAAGAGCAGCCTGAATTTCTCAATCATGATGCACATTACCGCATTATGAGTAATGACGTATGTGTAGTTTGTATGCACTTTAGCCGAAACTTGTGATTTTTCTGAAGAAGTCAGTCAGAGGATGTAGCTGTACGTCAACTACATGACTACTGAATCAGAAAACTAATCCCTGCTTTGTGTTAATGGGAGTTTCTCTGGCTGCAGTGCAAGATGTGCCATGTTGTGGAATGTGAGTATCAAGTCAATGTATCTTTAAAACACATTTCCAAACAACAGTGCGCCCTAAATGAGAGCCTTGTGCTGATGTGCAAGAGCAGGGTACAGAGGAAGGGCTCTCTTTTAACAAACCCATTTAAACATTTGCGCTCTTTTTTCATACAGCTCAATTGCAAATATTCTTTATTCTTGCACAGTGGAATGACCAAGGTTTTCACAAGGCAGTTGGTATTTTCATCAAGGTAAATTTTTTGGTAAGTTTCATCAGGAGAATTTCCCTGATACTCACCTGTGGAAGTCTACTGGAAATCATGGCTATTCACTGATCTGCTTGGCATCTGCTGGCTCTTTGTAGTTTCATGCTTTTTAGGCTACCCGTGGGACTCATCTGAACTACCTGGTTGAGCGCACATACAAAGGGAGTAAGCCTTTGTCCTGGAAGACAGTAATACCAAAAAGGGGGCTTGGAACAGAGCTTCTCCCTCAGATTCACAAGAACCTTGGGTGAGCTGAAGCATCATTAGAATCATTTGGATATGCCTTACCAACGCCTATGCTACTGCAAGACTCTTTCACCTTTCAATCTCTCCTGTTCTCTGCCTGTTACACAAAGGAGCTCAGTCTCTTGAGAACTGACATCCTTTTACGTGGTTCAAGTCAGCCTTTTCAAACCAGTGACCAAATAGAATTAATAAGATACGCAACAAGACAAGATGATTCAGTGTTTCCTTCTCCTCCAACCATTTTCTTAACTCTACCAGACCCACTTCTAAACCATGTCCCTGAGCACCATATCTTGATGAATTTTAAATACAGCCAAGAATGGCAACTCAACCACTTCCCTGGGCAGCCTGTTGCCACCTTCGATAACTTTCTCCCTGTAGAAGCTTCTCTAATATCTAACCTAAACCTGATTCTTTGTTTCTGTGATTCTGTGAACCTCCCCTGGAGTAACTTGAGGCCATTTCCTCTTTTCATTTGGGAGAACAAAATCTCCCAGTTCAGAGATTAATGGACAGCTTTATTGTCTGGGTGCAGGGGAACAAGGGCCAGCACTCAAGGATGCCACACATCAGGTCCTGCGGTGGTGGCTGTGCCAGCTGTCAGGGTCTTGGTCCTGGTGTTTATTCCAAGTGGGAGCATCCTGGCCTGCGCACAGGCCCAGGAGTGCTGGCGTGGTATCTGCTGCCGAGGGCTGGGGAGGAGAAGGAGGCCTCCACCGGCATCTGGCTGCTGGTGCTAGGGCTGCTGGTTTCAGGGAGCTGTGGGACAGCCCCAGAGTTGCCCAACTGAGGGTGCTGTGACCACTGGTCACAGGTGCCAAGGAGCAGTGGGAAGGCCCGAGTCCTGGCTGTTGAGCAGCGCTGGGACCAGTGACCTCTGAGGTGGTGCTGGAGGCTGGCACCTATGGCCTGTCCCTGTGGAAGAACCAGAAGCAGCCTGAGAGAGGCCCTGGCACTGCCGAGCACTGGACGTGCCCAGGGGGCAAGGAAACTGTTCCCACCTGCATGAATCCCCTGGGGCCCCCTGTGGTGCAGAAGGACTGCCCGTCCTCCACAGGCTCCAGGCAGAGGAGGCAGCTGGGGTTCTGCACCTCCACTGCTGGCTGGGGATGGGGGGGCCCGGCGAGGAACCTTGGGGAA